CACGGGCTGCTTCCTGGGGGTGGAGGCCTGGTCGAGGACCGGGCCGCCGGGACACTAAAGCCCCGAAATCATCTCAAGATAACCTCAAGATTTCCCACGCTCAAAAATAGAGCGTTTGCGTAATAGTGACTTTAGACATTGTATGTACTATCTCTTATCTATATATCCATCAACGTTTTGTATCTCACCTTGTATGTATCTATGTACTTGACCTGAATAAACATTTGTATATATTGTAAAACTCTCCACTGAATCCAAAAACCACTGGCCCAAAACCAGCACTGAATCACGTTTATAAGTTTTCAGTTCACTGTAAGTGATGAACAGATCCACAAGGGCCTAGATGAGGGTTCGAACCTAAGCAGGGGACGTTCCCAGACGCGCCCTAATCCACTAGACAGAGCCCCGGGCCACGCCATCTGACCTGAATGACGCTACTCTGTTTCATGTCTTGTAATAAACCTAACCTAACCTAACCTAACCTAACCTAACCTAACCTAACAAAACAATGCTCTGTCGTGCAGAAGACTCAACCTGACTCAAGTTGAGGTCATTTATATGAAAGTGACAGTGTTCACACACAGTGTTCAAGAACTGGATAAGCACCTCTAAAGGATACCTGATCAACTAGGCTGGTATTCGTACGTCAGGCTGCGAGCAGCCGCGTCCAACAGCCTGGTTGTGACCAGTCCAGCAACCAGGAAGCCTGGTTGACGACCGGGCCGCGGGGACGCTAAGCCCCGGAAGCACCTCAAGGTAACCTCAAGGAGGTATACTTGGCATGCTTTACCCTCGTCTGTTGCTTCGACAGTTTACCAACATCTTGAATATGTAAAACATGATCATTGGCTTGGAAGGTAATCTTGACTTTTTTTTTTTTTTTTTTTTTTTTTTTGAGATATATACAAGAGTTGTTACATTCTTGTAGAGCCACTAGTACGCATAGCGTTTCGGGCAAGTCCTTAATCCTATGGTCCCTGGAATACAATCCCCTGCCGCGAAGAATCGTTTTTTCATCCAAGTACACATTTTACTGTTGCGTTAAACAGAGGCTACAGTTAAGGAATTGCGCCCAGTAAATCCTCCCCGGCCAGGATACGAACCCATGACATAGCGCTCGCGGAACGCCAGGCGAGTGTCTTACCACTACACCACGGAGACTGTAGCTACACCTTGGTACAGTATTTGGTTAACGTCTCGTGTATATACACTACTATCATTATTATTGTCTGGAGACTAACACGCAGGTATGGAGTGGAATGTTATTAAATGATGAGACAAGCGTGAGACAGGCAGAAGAGAATGTGTGGATGACACGTGTAGTAATGTCTCTGTCTCCGTGGTGTAGTGGTAAGACACTCGCCTGGCGTTCCGCGAGCGCTGTCATGGGTTCGTATCCTGGCCGGGGAGGATTTACTGGGCGCAATTCCTTAACTGTAGCCTCTGTTTAACGCAACAGTAAAATGTGTACTTGGATGTAACAACGATTCTTCGCGGCGGGGATCGTATTCCAGGGACCATAGGATTAAGGACTTGCCCGAAACGCTACGCGTACTAGTGGCTCTACAAGAATGTAACAACTCTTGTATATATCTCAAAAAAAAAATGTAGGAATACGCTAAGCGTACATTTACTCCAATGGCGTAAATTTTACAATGGCGTACATTTACTCCACTCTCACCCACTTGTTGAGCGTCAGGGACATCGTGTATCAATGGAAGTCAAAACAAATTGAAATAAATGGAAATTCTTTTAATAAAATGTCTAATTAGACTAAATTAAATTGTTTGGTTTAAAGAAGATAGTGGTTCAGATGAACGAACAGTAACTGGGTAGTTTAACACACAAGGTAAGGTAACTTCTGCCGTGCCAGGAGGCCTGGTCGACGACCGGGCCGCGGGGACACTAAGCCCCGGAAGCACCTCAAGGTAGCCTCAAGGTAGGTAGCCTAGGGTTGGCCGTGTGCTCAATAATTTAGCGTGTGAGAATTTTAATGTTGTAAACTGAATATTTGTTTGTGGATGATGATACGTGTATCTAAATACTTGTACTCAACGGTGCATCTGTGGTCTTGCAGGGTCCCCGCTCGATCCCCGAAGGTCAAAGTGGTTGGACACCGTTCCTATAATCCATTCTCATATCTCGCCTCCATGTCCTAGTATCCCTTGCTAGTGGTAGATGTGTCGTAGGTAGGTCGATTGTACAACCAACCAAAACCCATAGAGTGCTTATTACTTTGATCGGATCGCCCTGTACGCTTCTGGAACTTGTCGAGGGGCTCAACATCACACATTTAGGGGGTGCGGCTCCAACACTGGCCTCGTTGTCCTGTGCACACACCCAATTTGAGCCGCCGTGACTCCCCACACTCTCCTTCGTTGGTATGATCTCCTCAATCTCCCTTTTTGAACTATAATTCTGTACTACTCTGTCCACAGCTATGGTTTTTTTTCTCTCTCTCTCTCCTTCTCTTTTCTACTTTCTTGGAAGCCTCACTAGGACAAGGGGAAACACCTATTAATAATGTACATTTAGTAGACAGAGAATGTATACAACACACACACACACACACACACTGTAGTATGCCCTTCAACACTATGCTATTATAATCAGGTTGTCATCCAATACCATCAAGACTCGATCAGCCGTTTATATCAAGTGGTGGCCCCACTCCTGGCTCGCCACTTATCCAACCAACCTCACCAAGTGGGTTAAATCTCGTAATGCAATATGGCACTATCAGCCCTAGAATATATATAAATATATACAGATAACTCAGCCTATGGCTGTAACTCTATAAACATCAGTATAAATATTCCTTGATACGCAAATGACCAATCACCCACCTTTCACTGCGTCTTGCATGCCAATGACACTCAAACACTCTACTGACTCTAAGCAATCGATAAGAGCCTCCTCGCTGCCTTTAGAGGTTCACTACCCTGAACATCTTCAGGTTCTTCCAGAATTATCTATCAGGGTCTTCTACAGCTCTTCCAGGCTGCTGCACCATGAAGTTTTTCTTAAACGGCAATGATGCGTCACCGCTGGTACCACAGAAGCATGTGACACTCCTTCACTGCTTCTCCTCACACGGCTGAGGTCCTACTCCTCACACGGCTGAGGTCCTACTCCTCACACGGCTGAGGTCCTACTCCTCACACGGCTGAGGTCCTACTCCTCACACGGCTGAGGTCCTACTCCTCACACGGCTGAGGTCCTACTCCTCACACGGCTGAGGTCCTACTCCTCACACGGCTGAGGTCCTACTCCTCACACGGCTGAGGTCCTACTCCTCACACGGCTGAGGTCCTACTCCTCACACGGCTGAGGTCCTACTCCTCACACGGCTGAGGTCCTACTTCTCACACGGCTGAGGTCCTACTCCTCACTGTGGGGGCTGCTCTTCCACAGAGCTCAGTATTTCTTCAGTAGCCTTGGCGTTCCAGCCACTGACTCCTCCTCTACTGTCCTCGAAGTTCTCTCAGCAACTCCTTCCCCCACACAAACCTGCAATCCATTGACACGCCAATAAAGATGTTTCCCTACAAACATATAACTAAAATAAACTACACAGTAAATGTCTCCACTCGACATCCCTCTGATTCCCGTGTGCCGTGAGGTGACTCCCCCACCTCCGGGCGAGTCCATTCTCCACTTCCCTGGATGGTCCGTCGCCTGGGAGACTGCCAGGCGCAGGCCGGTCAGTTGCCTCCATGATGTCGACGGGAGAGGATGTACTGTTCCTCTCCTCAGCTTGTTCCTCTGTACCTCTGTTCAGACTGTACCCCTCTCAACCAGTTTAAGATAAAAACGAAGCTATACCTAATAAATTCCCTGTAACCTACCTTACCCCCTCTATTGTCAACCAATGTCTGTTACTTTTAAATGGCGCTGTTTATCGACAGAATTGTATTTGTGCTGCTTTTTCAGTCATGTTCCCCCCTTTATCTTTTTTTTATTTGTTCTCAACTCATTTTATTCCTTATGCTCAATTAGTATTAAGCTTTAGTCATTTAAGTTTTTCATGCCCGAAACGCTTTGCGTAATAGTGGCTTTAGGCATTGTATGTACTAGCCCTATCTATAAATCCATCACTCTTTGTAAAATCTCTTGTATGTATATACCTTACCTAAATAAACATTTGATTTGATTTGTTCCCCTCATCTCTTCTCTTATTTGGGCCTTCTGCCTTAATAAAATATGCCTAATATATCAATAAACACATGCTGCAGTCGCTGGGCACAAGACCAACTACAGGCCATCACTGTTAACTGGTTTAAAATGGCTTACCACAGAATTTGATTCGCTCAGTGGCCGAGCTGTTGACCGGGCGCCCTAGGCTGCCCACAAAATACTTCCAAGACTGCGCTACAACTCTTCCTGCAGTCCACGACTTGAGCTCAGACGTCTCCAGACTTGTTCCATAATCGAGACGTCTGTCCACTTCCTTCTTCTTGAAGATGTATCAAACAGGGGTTCTTCTCTAGCAGGAGCTCAATGGAGTGTGACCTCCCCCCTAACGTTTTTTGCAGCTCAAGTGAGGTCAAGACCTTCTGAAGTGAGCCTCACACCTCCAGCAAATTCTCTACATCTCATGACAAGTCATTTACCTATATACTTATTTTCTGCCCATACTTTTAAACTACTCATCAATATTAATCAAGTGTTTAACATATATATATTACCAGTCTATATTTCTTTGACCTCTCAGTTAGTTGACCAGACCACACACTAGAAATTGAAGGGACGACGACATTTCGGTCCGTCCTGGACCATTCTCAAGTCGAATGGTCTGGTCAAGTTCGAATGGAAATGCAACATACTTCAGCCACGTTATTGTGACTCATCGCCTGCACCTCTCAGTTAGGTCTGGTCTGTCTGAATAACTCTCAGGGTAGACTCGGTTTTCAGCTACCTGGGGTCATAACAATAGTCGTTTTGGTTTAGTATTTTCTGCTGATATTTGCCTTAGTTAAGTGTTATTGTATGTGTTGCAGGGTCGAGTGTGATGGCCGGTCCCGGGGCATGTGAAAGTGTCGCGCTGCCCGTGGTGCTGGTGGCGCGGGTTGCCCCTAGCCTTGTACTACACGCCTCCACGCCCTTCCTCTACCACGCCAGCACCACGCCCACCTCGGGCGACACCGCCGGGGGCACCTCCACCCCCCTCCACACCTCCACTGTGATACCCAACATTCCCACCAAGTTTCACCCCATCGTGTCCTCAACTGGTCAACACTGGAACGCCAGTAAAAGATGTACTCGTGTGCTTGTATCTCTTAAAATATTTGTAGCTGTAACGTTCAGCTTGTTAGATAGCACTAAACTTTGTGGATCTTTAACTGTAAACTAATTATATATTAAGTAGGAAAGTTCGCTATAGTATTAAGAAAGAATTGTGTTGACTTGTTTTAAGATTTATGTGAGTATGTCGTCAGGAGCAGTTGTGGGTGTGTGGCAGGCGGTGGGTGGACAGGGTGGGGATGGTAATGAAGGATCTGGTTCTGAGGGCGGTGGTGGTGGTGTGTCTGGCGATGGTGGTGGGGGAGAGCAAGATGGAGAACCTCCTTTTCCCCGCGAAGAATACTGCACACCGTCCCGTGCCTATGACCGTACAGTACAACTTGAAAGTCTAGGAAGAGAGGCGTTGCCGGCCTCCTCTGCAAATGATGACAGTCACAAGCCGCTCGCCCAATACCAGGGCAATATACCACATAATATTTCAAATGAAAGCGAGTGTCGTGTAAGGATATTTTCCTCAAGTGAGTGTAGTGCAGTAAAATGTGAATGCGAACAGTGTGTTTTGCGGACACATCGTGATGGGCACGCTGAAAAAATCGGTAATTGTGAGCAAAATTGCGTTTCATCGTATGAAAGCAGCCCGTGCGATACGAGCCCGACCAGTCCTGCAGAGAACTCGGTTGGTCCTAGAAAAAGCTTTGTTGACGGGAGCACACAGACGGGCCCTGCGTGTGATGGAAACACCCGTCCACACGAGGGCGGGTGTGACGGCGGAAACAAAACGAGTGATTGTGCGTTTGGGAGCCAGTCGACCCAAACCGAGCAAATCACTAAGAGTCTGGACGCCGGTAGGACAGTCATTTCAACAAATTTACCAGAGAGGAGGCAAAAGTCGTGCAATTCTGACTATTCCTCATTGTCTTCCTGTGACTCTAGCAGATGTAGCAACTGCAGCACAAGAAGCGACTCTGGCAATAGCCCCAGTAGTAACATTAGTGATAGCAGCAGCACTAATGGCCGCTCTCATAAAAGTGTAGGAACAAACTTCAAAAAGGTCTCAGCGTGTAGTAGTGACCTTAGTCCCATTCCATCATGTGGAGGGGAATCCACAGCCAACACTGGCCTCACTGTCAACATTGGTCTGTCGACTGACAGCAGTACCAGAGATACAGAAGGCCGCAGCCCCTGTACTCCAACCAGTGGATGTCTTAAAGCTGGGACAAGAATTCCAACTGGAGCTCACGTTCAGTTCGACACTCCCTATGAGGAAGAAGACCCCCGCGTCGTGCACGACACACTAGTGACGGAAGATGGTCAAGTGACTATACACAAGTCCAATGGCAGCTCTACACCAAATCAAGGAGACCAGTTATCACGTTTGTGGTCGAAACGTGTTCCAGACTCATCGCCATCCGATGTTGCATCCAACTTACCTGCACCGAAAAAATGGCGTCGGAGACAAATATCGGGCTCGAGTAGCATTAGTCTGGGCTCAAGCTCCAGTGACTCCAGCAACTCCCAAGGAACGGAATTTGAGCGTCGAGCTCCTGACGGAGGCTGGGGATGGGTGATAGTGGCAGCGTCCTTCATGGTCCACTGCATTGCTGACGGTGTCACTATGTCCTTCGGCGTCCTCTTCGTTGAACTTCTCAGTTACTTCCAAGAAAGCAAGTCCTTAACATCATGGGTGGGAAGCTTATTCATGGCAATACCATTGTTGGCTGGACCTCTCGCCTCTCTCCTGACTGACCGCTATGGCTGTCAGACTGTAACAATCTGTGGTGCTGTGATTGCCTGTTTTGGATTCTTTATCAGTGCCTTTGTAAATACTATTCCCTTGCTGTTACTAACAGTAGGCATTATTACCGGTCTTGGCCTAGCAGTGTGCTATGTTGCTGCCATTGTTATCGTGGCTTTCTACTTTGAGAAGAAGCGGTCACTAGCAACAGGGATAGCAGTGGCCGGTAGTGGCATTGGCACATTTTTATTCGCACCATTAATCCAATATCTGGTTGACTACTGGGGTTGGCGACTGTGTTTCATAATGTTGGCGGGTATATTCTTAAATATGGTTGTGTGCGGTGCCCTGATGCGTGACTTGGAGTGGACCCCTCGTGACTCCTCCAGCCTCAGAGATGCTAACACCACCACCATCAGCAGCCGCCGCTGCTCTACTTCACAGTCGTCAGAGACGGTAGGTGGTCGTGGAGGCAGCGAAGGTACAGGGCTCCCGTCCCTGGAAGAGCTGCGACGGCTGGTGCAGTCTGGAGACGTGGCTGCACTGCTCTCCCCAGATGATGGCCCCAGCGAGACGCTCCGTGGGTCAGCATCGCTGGTACTGTTACCAACCTTCCTCAGCCGTTCTCAGGCCTTGCCTCCCGACGTAATTCCTTGTCTGTCGTCACGCACCAATGCATACGAGGTGGTCTCTCATATGTATCCGCATCTGCTCTCTCACTCTCTCTCCGGTCATGTAAACCAAGTTGACCCGGTTCACAAGCAATTAGATAAGCAACATGCAAACACTCCCAATGAGAACATATCAACGTATGCGTCAAGGCCGATAAATATCATAGGATCAGCAGCAGGTCACAGCCAGGACGAAGTGGACGACACTCCACCCCTTCCCCCGAGCACAAGTGGACAACTGTACTCCGACACAGACTCTACCACGCCTGGATCTGTAGGGGGCGATCTTGCCCTCCAGAATGGAAACACCAAAAAGGTATGTGCAATTAATTTGATTAAATTGGAAAGCCAGTAGGTCGTAGTTTTAATTGGAACCAAATTAAACGTATAGGGTTTGAGTTAAATTGGGCACTGCGCTGGTATTCCACACGACCAATGTAAATATCAATTTGGAGAGTGGTATCTCAGATGAAAAATGTATATTGTGTAAACGTGGACGCTGTTATTAAAACCCAGGAAGCGTTATTTTCTTTAGAACACCGGGCTGATAAAACCGACAGTTAGATGACCACACGAATTAATAATAAGAAACATCCCAATAGGAATAACTATTGGCCGGCCCCCATATAAAGCGACCCTTCCTTCCCCCCCCCCCACCATTTGGTCACCACTTGGTCCGGGAGACATCTCCCGTCACGCAGGGTGCAGTTGCGCCTCCACAGATCTCCAGTATCATCTTTTGATACTGGTAATGGCTCGAAAGGGCCACCACTTACGGGCTATTCATGCCCGTGCCACCTATTGGGTGGCTTAATCTTCATCAATCAATCAATCCCCCCCCCACCCCTCCAACAACTTGGACTGGATGGTAGAACGAAGGTCTCGCTTCATGCAGGCTGGCGTTTAATTCCCGACCGTCCACAAGTGGTTGGGGCACCATTCCTTCCCCTCCGTCCCATCCCAAATCCTTATCCTGACCCCTTCCAAATGCTATATAGTCGTAGTGGCTTGGTGCTTTCCTCTGATAATTCCCTCCCTCCTCCCCCCCCCCTCCTCTCCTTGTACCAGTAAACTGCTTAACCAAGTTAAGCAGTTTGCCAGAGTTCTAGACGACAGATCATTCCACTCATCCACAACTATTCTCAAACTTGTGCATCTCTGTCTCTGTAAAAGTAAAGTAATGAAGAGTGTAACCATTGGTGGTCTGACCTATTTTAACAGTTTAACACAGTTTGTATCTGTGTTTATGCCCTCTAACCACTTGTAAACCTCGATTATATCCTCGTTTCTAGTTTCTCCAGCAAGTGTGGCTTGAAAGTTAAATAATTTTAGGAAATGTCTTCCTTATCTGTATTTTCCCACAAATGTCTTAAGTCTCTTCTGTAAACGGTGACTAGCAGTGCTAGCAGTAAATAAATACCATTTTGAATATCATCTAAGTTATGCAGGCGATGAGTCACAATAACGTGGCTGAAGTATGTTGACCAGACCACACACTAGAAATTGAAGAGACGACGACGTTTCGGTCCGTCCTGGACCATTCTCAAGTCGATTGTCACAATCGACTTGAGAATGGTCCTGGACGGACCGAAACGGACCGAAATTTCTAGTGTGTGGTCTGGTCATCATCTAAGTTATCAAATGGAAGCCCAAAAACTACTAAACATGAAAGAACAGAAGAGTGGTGAGAGAAACTACATCAAATCCATTGCTTATCAAAAAATGAACTCGATCAAATGTGGCAAAGAAAGCACATGGTGCAAGTAACAAACTCGGTGGACTGTCAGGTTGTCACTGCTCCTGTACTACCTAGTACTGTACTACGAGTACTATCTAGCCAGTACTACCTAGCTATACGTTTCTCTAGACGTTCAAAAATCTTATCTTAAGGTTATCTTGAGATTGATTTCGGGGCTTTTTAGTGTCCCCGCGGCCCGGTCCTCGACCAGGCCTCCACCCCCAGGAAGCAGCCCGTGACAGCTGACTAACACCCAGGTACCTATTTTACTGCTAGGTAACAGGGGCATGGGGTGAAAGAAACTCTGCCCATTGCTTCTCGCCGGCGCCTGGGACTGAACCCGGGACCACAGGATCATAAGTCCAGTGTGCTGTTCGAGCGGCCGACCGGCTCTCCCCTAGTATGGGGATCTAGCTGACACGAGATGTAGGTGTGTGGACATACAGGAATATCACATCTTATTGTATGTGAACTTTGACCCATTTAGTGATAGATCTAAATTGATTTAGGTACAAAATAATTATATCGCTAATGATGGAATTTCTAATATTCTTGTACTGTATAAAAATTTCACTTTCGGTAAAATTTTTAAAGAAAATGTGATGAAAGTCTACGTAATGTGGACTAAGATTTAAAAATCCGCCCTTTTATTAACCTACTAAATTGAAGACCGTCTTGAGATTATCTTGAGATGATTTCGGGGCTTAGCGTCCCCGCGGCCCGGTCCTCGACCAGGCCCTTTTTTTTTAGCAGCCCGTAGAAGCTGTCTTTAACTCCCAGTTACCTATTTACTGCTAGATGAACAGAAGCATCAGGGTGAAAGAGAGACTGCCCATTTGCTATATCAAATGCTGAAAATTATTTGCAAAATGACTGTCTTGCAACCAGCGTTACTAGCTGTCATTGTAATTAGTGTTATTTCGGGTGACAACATTCAAAGAGCAGAGTTTTTTACCCTGATGCATCTGTTCACCTATCAGTAAATAGGTAACTGGGAGTTACAGGTGCTACGGGCTGCTTCCTAGGGATGTGTGTGTGTGTGTGTGTGTGTGTGTGTGTGTGTGTGTGTGTGTGTGTGTGTGTGTGTGTGTGTGTGTGTGTGTGTGTGTGTGTGTGTGTGAAATTTAGGATTAAGGACTTGCCCGAAACGCTATGCGTGCTAGTGGCTGTACAAGAATGTAAGAACTCTTGTATATATAAATAAATACAAATAAAAAAGAGAGTATGGTGGTATATTACACACAGAAATCACAATAGCGTGATGCATCAAATGAACAAATCCACAAGGGCCGTGACGAGGATTCGAACCTGAGTCCGAGAGCATCCCAAAACCATGTCGTAGCGCTGCCTTAATCGACTGAGCTACGACAGGGTCAAAACCATGTCGTAGCTCAATCGATTAAGGCATTCATCCACTTGTAAACCTCTATCATGTCACCCCTAACTCTTCGCCTTTCCAGTGAATGCAACTTAAGCTTTGTTAATCTTTCTTCATATGAAAGATTTCTAATTTGGGGAATTAACTTAGTCATCCTACGCTGGACACGTTCAACTGAATTTATATCCATTCTATAATATGGCGACCAAAACTGAACTGCATAATCTAAATGGGGCCTAACTAGAGCAAGATATAGCTTGAGAACCACACCAGGTGTCTTGTTACTAACGCTGCGATTAATAAATCCAAGTGTCTGATTTGCCTTATTACGAACATTTATGCATTGATCCTTTTGTTTTAAATTCTTACTAATCATAACTCCCAGATCCCTTTCGCAATCCGACTTCGCAATCACAACACCATCTAGCTCGTATCTTGTAACTCTATCATCATTACCTAACCTCAGAACTTTACATTTATCAGCATTAAACTGCATCTGCCAATCCTTTGTCCATTTCAAAACCCTATCTAGATCAACTTGAAGTGATAGTGAGTCCTCCTCCGAATTAATTTCCCTACCGATTTTCGTATCATCGGCAAATTTGCAAATGTTGCTACTCAAACCTGAATCTAAATCATTTATATATATTATAAACAACAGAGGTCCCAGGACAGAGCCTTGAGGCACTCCACTTACAACATTTTCCCACTCTGACTTGATTCCATTTATACTAACTCTCTGTTTCCTTTGGTATAGCCATGCCCTAATCCAGCTTAATATAGCACCCCCAATACCATGAGACTCTATTTTTTTAATCAGTCTTTCATGTGGCACTGTATCAAAAGCTTTGCTAAAGTCAAGGTATACAACATCGCAATCCTTACCACTATCAACTGCCTCAACAATGCTAGAATAAAAAGATAACAAATTTGTTAAACATGAACGGCCATTTATAAAACCATGTTGCGACTCAATTATTAATTTATGTTTTTCAAGATGAAGACGAATTTTATTTGCTATTATAGATTCGAGTAACTTTCCCACAATAGACGTTAGGCTAATTGGTCGATAGTTAGACGCAAGTGATCTATCTCCTTTCTTAAAAACTGGTATCACATTAGCAACTTTCCAAAACTCTGGCACTCTGCCTGACTCTATTGATTTATTAAATATGGTTGACAGTGGGTCACAAAGCTCCTCTTTGCATTCTTTAAGCACCCTAGCAAACACTTCATCCGGCCCTGGGGATTTGTTTGGTTTGAGTTTTACTATTTGTTTAAGAACATCCTCCCTGCCTTAATCGCGTCTGGGATGCTCTCGGACGCAGGTTCGAATCCTCGTCACGGCCCTTGTGGATGTGTTCATGGTGGTATATGTTAAGCCGCAACTAGCGACAATAACAAAAATCGGTCAATTTTATCATCTTGAGTTTGGTTTTATCAGATTGACATAAAGCTTGGGCTTTCTGCTGATGATGGAGACGATGCCGATAATGAGGAAGAAACTGAGGAGCCCAAAGAGATGACGGCTATGCTGGGATCAGTCCGAGGACGAAGTATACGAAACAATGCAGGACGGAGAATTTCCACAGGGTGTATGGGGGCTAGCTCCTCCCCGCCCCCGGCCGCACCCTTACGGAACATGAGGGTCAACAGGTACTCTATCTTCAACCATTTTCAAACTATTATTTTATTCGCATGTTTGTAATGTTGAAATGTGGTATAAGTGGGGTACCACAGGGGTCCATTTTGGGGCCAACCGTTTTTGTCATATACATCTGTTACGTGCTAATTAGTTTGTCGTTAAGATCTGTTACGTGCTAATTAGTTTGTCATTAAGATCTGTTACGTGCTAATTAGTTTATCATTAAGATCTGTTACGTGCTAATTAGTTTGTCATTAAGATCTGTTACGTGCTAATTAGTTTGTCGTTAAGATCTGTTACGTACTAATTAGTTTATCATTAAGATCTGTTACGTGCTAATTAGTTTGTCATTAAGATCTGTTACGTGCTAATTAGTTTGTCGTTAAGATCTGTTACGTACTAATTAGTTTATCATTAAGATCTGTTACGTGCTAATTAGTTTATCATTAAGATCTGTTACGTGCTAATTAGTTTGTCATTAAGATCTGTTACGTGCTAATTAGTTTATCATTAAGATCTGTTACATACTAATTAGTTTGTCGTTAAGATCTGTTACGTACTAATTAGTTTATCATTAGATCTGTTACATACTAATTAATTTATCATTAAGATGTGTTACGTGCTAATTAGTTTGTCATTAAGATAATGAGAGATTGGAGCGAGTATAAGGTTTACTCGCTACACATCAATGACGTAGATGATAATATTACAAACCACATCATCAAATTTGCAGATGACACAAAGATTTATGGCAAAGAGGGAAGTGATAATGATGTGGTCTTACAAAAAGATCTATAGGAACTCCACAAATGGTCAGGGGACTGGCAAATGCAAGATCCTGCATGCGGGGCACAATTTACAAATTGGAGGATGTTGATCTGGAAATGTCTTCAAAAGGTCAGATGTAACACCAACAAGGAGCAACGGTTTCAAGCTCAACAAGCCACAATGAGAACTGGACTCAGAACAGGAGATGCTTTTTCACCCACATGGTTATAAACCCATGGAACCGCCTACCCGCCGAAGCTGTAAATGCCAAAACTGTTACATTTTAAAATTCAGCTGGAAAAAGATCATAAGGCAAATGGAGGGACCTTTGACAATCAAATCGCTTCTTGTCCTCGTCGAGGCCACTAGTGTTAGTGGCTCTTTGGTAAAAAATAAGATAAAAATATATTATGGAATGTGGAATTGCAGAAAATAGACCACACACAACTTATGTGGAAAGGAATTACAAAACACTAATAAAGAACGAGACCTAAGGGATGTTTTTGATAGTAAACTGTCATCAGAGGAACACAAAAAAAACATGTGTGTTCATGTGAGAAGAGCGTATACAGCACTTAACAACTTCACACGCTTTTAATTACATGGATGATAAAATAGTGGAACCTCGAATAACGAATCGCTGCCTGACGGATACTCAACTGATCGTACAGTAACAATCACAAGTCTTCCCAGACAAACATTTACTTGTTACTTTAACAGTTCTAAGAATAGCTAACATCTAGCTCTATATTATATTAATATTCAGTTAACACAGAGTCTGCCTGCTCTGTGAGAATAAGGTTACAGTATTTTGACCAGACCACACACTAGAAGGTGAAGGGACGACGACGTTTCGGTCCGTCCTGGACCATTCTCAAGTCGATTGTTGACTTGAGAATGGTCCAGGACGGACCGAAACATCGCCGTCCCTTCACCTCCTAGTGTGTGGTCTGGTCAACTTACTTTAGCCACGTTATTGTGACTCATATCCTACATAAGGTTATTTCTACATCTGGTAGGGAAGACGGGAAAATAAACACAGCAAAAAAACAGATTCCTTGAATATAAGTTATACTATTAATTAAATATCCCTGTGAACAAACTGGATATAGAACAAACGAATGTGAACAAGCAATTCAATGCACGTGAATTTCTCACGTGCATTGTTCCCCATCCTGTGTTCAGAATGTTAACATGGTATCTTTTCAAATGTTGTCCCAGGTCCATTATATGCCACTAATTTGCATTCAATTTCATAATCCAATCCTATCAATTAATGTTCTAATATTTACTTACTCAAGAATCCACACAAAATCCCTAAGTCATGGCCTATCTCTACCGAAATACTTGAGTAACTGATCCATACATGAATATAAAAGAAACCAATTTGACCTCTGGTTTCCTGGCAGAGCCAATTAAGAACCCCAGGGTTGTAACAAGAGGCTAGAGGTGTTAAATATGCCAGAACTAGAAAATAGAAAAAGTGATATGATCACCACTTACAAAATAATAACAGGAATTGACCAAATAGGCAAAGAGGAATTCTTGAAACGAGCAACTTCTAGAACAAGAGGACACAGATTCAAGCTAAGGAAACAAAGGTGGCAAAAAAATTTAGAAAGTTTTCTTTTACAAACAGAGTGGTAGATGGTTGGAACAAGCTAAGTGAGAAGAGGTGGTGGAGGCTAAATCTGTCAGTACAGTAGTTTCAAAGTATTACATGAAAGCTTGTCGAATTTCCCCCATTTGCCTTTATTATTTTTTCCCAGTTGGATTTTAAAATTGCCAAAACTCTGCTGTGTTTTAAAATACAGCTGGAAAAAATCAGGGCAAATAAAGGGGATCTTTGAGAAGCTGCTGGCTTCCTGTCCTCATTGAGGCCACTAGTATTAATGGTCCTCAGATAAAAATTCTGGTAAATATGAGAGTACTGGGATGACAGGACACCATGACCATAGTTCTCATCTTGTAACTACAGTTAGGTAATTAATCACATGTGTACACATACATACAGTACAGTATTTATATACAGACACAGGCTTCCAGTCCCCCTCCCCCCCAAAAAAAGAATTATGGATCCATGTTAGTCCTGTGAGTGTGAGAAAGGTTAGTGCTACGTATTTGGTTCATTATGATTCCATTGATCTTTTAAGTAAAGCAATTTATATTTGTGTGCAGGCGATGATTCACAATAACGTGGCTAAAATATGTTGACCAGACCACACACTAGAAGGTGAAGGGACGACGACGTTTCGGTCCGTCCTGGACCATTCTCAAGTCGATTGAGACTTGAGAATGGTCCAGGACGGACCGAAACGTCGTCGTTCATTCACCTTCTAGTGTGTGGTCTGGTCAACAATTTATATTTGTGGCGAGATAGTTGTATAGATAGTTTTCTATCTTGCACCCCACACCAATTCTTTGGGAGGTCATGGAATGGTTAAAATCATGTGTATGAGCTGCTTAGTGGGCAAATTTAAAATAATAATTGGCTATGATTTATCAGTACAACACTGTACTATACAGTACTGGGTACTGTACATCATTTTGAGTGAAATGCATATTTTTTTGAACATTTAGTATGCTGGGTGAGGAAATAGTTTAAAACAAAATGTTTGTAATTGTTTTTACAGTATTTGTTTACACCTAATGCCTCTGTTGATATAGTAGTGGCTACAGTATATGGGAGTTATCTGTAGTGGGTTGCATCCTGGGAAAGGTAACTTGTTGGCCAAAGGGGGAACCCGATAAGGTTCCCCCGGGCCATGGGGGAACCCCGATAAGTCTTCTCAATAGGAAATGAGAAACCATTGGGATATATCTTCTTGCTTAATATGGTTTTCATGCAAAAAATGTACCTTTTTAGGTTGCTTATTTTCCAATTGCTACACTTATGATGGTCCAAGAGTGTATTATATAGTGTATAGTGTAGAGGGTATTATAACTGATAATCTATAGAATTCCAATTTCACTAACATTGTGACGGGGATTTGCAGACAATCAATGACATACCGAGGAGCGATGCTGAACATCCACCGCTATCGGCTGAGGGCTTCATCATGCCCAGACATTTATCGAAATTCCATCATCACAATAGCTAAATCACAAGATGAGGTGAGCAAAGATGAGAGCCCTCTCGGTTTTTCTTTGCCTGTCTTCTCTCCTCTCCTCCTGTAACCACGGGCCTTCAGTGGGATCCGCTTCAAATGAGTGTCTTAATGTTTCTCAAGTTCCTTTTATTTCTGCAGGCGATGAGTCACAATAACGTGGCTAAAGTATGTTGACCAGACCACACACTAGAAGGTGAAGGGACGATGACGTTTCGGTCCGTCCTGGTCCGTCGTCGTCCCTTCACCTTCTAGTGTGTGGTCTGGTCATCCTTTTATTTCTGTTCTTGCAGTTCACTCATAATTAGTTATGTTAATTATATTAATTTCTAATTACTGCTCACATTATTCTCCTTTGATATTCAGGTCTTCACCTATACAGTTCTTACTTCCTCGTCTTACTTTTTGTTTTTCATAATCAATTATATACCTGTTAATATTTCCATTTTCCTGTACATTTGCAGTAATTTATCCTCATAAATGTTATACTTATTTTTCTTACTGCTTATTACACATCATTAATACTTATTTATTAGATATTTTATTTGTTAATAAATTTTAGTTTTTAGTTCTACATTTTACACATTCCATTGTGCAGTATACTTTTTACTCTAATTCACTACCAAAAAATGCTTAGGCCTTATATTTGTTATACTACAGAATTTATATTAAATTTATCATAAATACTGACCCATATGGTTCCCCTTGTAAGTCCTCAAAACTGTACTGCAGTCGAACATTGGAAAAGTAAAGTAATTTATGTATACCGTACTTGGGTGCCTATTTCTCATGCGATAGTACTACCATGTTAGTACAGTGTACTGCCGTACTTCTAAAATAACCATATTGGTCTTCTGTACTTATATAACCACTCAATGTAGTACTTTTTAACTGCACTGTGGGTCTCTGAATCTTTTCACTTATCTCTGTAATAAAAACAAAAAAGTTCAATACCCAAGATTAACCAGACCAGAATATAACATAGCTTTTGTGCAAATAAATTGAGCTCTGAAGATGGTTTATCCATTTTATTAGGCTTCTCTTGAAATTTCGACACATTTTTTAATACAGTAGTTTAGTGAATCTTGTCTCGTGTGTTAATATTGTTGCCAATGTTTGCCATATCCTTCACGGTCAGACTTCTTCCTTTGCGTCAGCAACTAATTAAAGCTGCTCTATTCTTTTGTTTTAATTATTTTCTTTATCTTAGGAGTTGATCTCACTCAAATTTTTGGTCTAAAATTTCATAAATTTTCTTCCATTTCAGCATAATAAAGTCCACGCTTTTTCTGAATAGAAGCATAGACACATCCAATGCATATGCATATATACATGGCAGTACCTTAATAGAGCTCTCTCATGTTACAGAGAGCCTGGACATACTTGGATGACATGGGAGAAATGATGACATCATGTGTGGACATCAGCTACTGCATGGAGGCTTCTTATCTAATTTTTGCATTGTCAAACTTCATTTTATATGTTTTCTATGACACCGTCTACATGTATTTAACTGATTATGCCCAGGGAGTTGGTGTCTCAGCTGATGACAGTGCAAATCTCATTTCTGTCATTGGAATACTGAACTGCTTGGGAATGGTAAGAGTTTGAAATGTTGTTACAGTATAAGAATGTTTGCATGGTAATGTACCTCAGAAAACACACTATATATAATGTGTGTGTGTGTGTGTGTGTGTGTGTGTGTGTGTGTGTGTGTGTGCATGCTCTTTCTCTCTGTCTGCCTTGCTTTGTTCTGTTCTGCACTCTTGTTCTCTCTCTCCTCACTTTTCTCCTCTCCTCTTCTTTTTTCCATGTCTTCACTTTTCCTCTTCTTTCTTCTAGTTTCCTCTTTGTTCTTATTCTTCTTCCTTCTTTCTTCTTCTTCTCATCTCCTCTTTATTTTCTTCTTCTCTTCTCTTCTTCTTTTCTTCTTGTCTTCATTTCTTTTTCCTTTTCTCTCTCCTTCTTCTTCTCTTCTTCTTATCTTCTCTTCTCCTCCTCCTTCTTCTTGAGGTTATCTTGAGATGATTTCGGGGCTTTAGTGTCCCCGCGGCCCGGTCCTCGACCAGGCCTCCACCCCCAGGAAGCAGCCCGTGACAGCTGACTAACACGCAGGTACCTATTTTACTGCTAGGTAACAGGGGCATAGGGTGAAAGAAACTCTGCCCATTGTTTCTCGCCGGCGCCCGGGATTGAACCCGGGACCACAGGATCACGAGTCCAGCGTGCTGTTCGCTCGGCCGACCGCCTCCCCCATCCTACCATTCTACCATCCTAACCCTATCTCTGTTAGTATACAGCATTTTCAGTAACATGTTCCCCTTTCATTTTTCCCATCACTCCCCCCCCCCCTACCTTTAACAATTTTGTTGGTTTGCTTTCATATACCATCTCTCTAACTTCCGAGCCCTTTCACCTTATAGAAAAATATATAAGTTCTTCATTCATTACTATCCTCATTTAGACAATTTGCTTCATCAAGGTTCAGTTCCAGCTTCCCTGTCGTACTTTGAAAGACCTCATCTTAATACCATAGATTCCTATCTTCTTCACCTTGCAATTTCCTGATGTTCCTAAACACTTCTGTCATTTGCTTCACTCCATTTAATGTCACCCTTAAGGGGCAAGTCTTACCTTTTACATATTTGCCTATATTCCAGAAATCATTGACCTTAGATGAGAGGTCTTCACCTAAATCTACCATTTTCTCAGTAATTTTTTTGTTATTACTTTTCTGCTGCTCTTTCCACCCTAGATATTATCTCCTTTTCCAAACATCCATAAAACTATTATAATACTTTTATCTACAATGTTCTGTACTAATTTACAGCTCTTAACCAGTTCATTCTTAGTTGCTTGTCTAATGTCAGTTCCTGGCTGCTCATTTCTGTTTTTGATATCCTAATGTACTACTTTGTTTTTCTCTTATACAAATTGCATATTTGTTTATTTCCTCTTTATACTTTTCTAAGCCTTTAGTAATTTCTTTCATTTGAGTTACCCATGAATTGTCTAGCTTATGTACCTAATCCTTGTTTTGGCTAGTTTGTCGAGTTGCTCCGAGTTCTCGTCCAAGTTTATCTTCAACTTTTTCAAATTCCACTCCCTTGGGTTTTCATCTTTTCTTTTTTTTTCCCCTCGTACTAGATCCTTAATTTGTTCCTCCTGCCTCCTTACTGTATCAGTCAAGCTAATAACTTTCTTCTGTTGCTGTAAAATACTTTCGTGCAGATTAATTTTACTTTCAAGATCTTCATTCTCTGTACATAGTGTAAGAAACTTTGCTTTAAAGAATCCTTAGTAAATCCTCAATCTTTACTAATGTTTAAAGTAACCCTCCTTCCATTATTTGTTCTTCAGTGACACCTTCAAAATTTGTGTTGTTGACATTATAGGTTCAGTTAGTCCACCATCATTATAATTTTCATCTGGTACTGGTAGCCCTTGCTTAAAACTTCCTCTGATTTGTATATTGTTTTCTCAATATTTGTAACTCTCCACACCCTATTACCTTGGTATACTGTATTTATAGAATTTGGGACATTTTTGCACCCCCCTATCCTACACTACCACCTAGATAGAAATAATCCTGGAGCTTTCTGAGCCATGTTGTGTGCTGAAGTTACTAATGGGGTCCGATATCTAATCTTGCTTTCCTGTGAACGTGATTTTTCTGAAGCTAAATATGTACGTGTTTGCACTATTGTACTTACTGAAGTGTAGTTACAGGATGAGAGTTCGTGGTGTCCTGTCATCCCAGCACTGACGTATAACTCTTTGTAACTCCTGACAGTTTTAGCCTCCATCACCTTCTCGCTTAATTTGTTCAAACTGTCTGCCACTCTTGTTTGCAATAGTGAATTTTCTTAAAAATTTTTGGCAGCTTTGTTTAGTTTTTTTAAATCTATGACCTCCTGTTCTTGAAGTTCCAGGTCTCAGAAATTCTTCTCAATCGTGTTGAATTCTGTTACTATTTTGTACATTGTGGTCATATCACCACTTTTTCTTCTATCTTCTAGTTATTATCTTGTTCACTTATTAATATTGTAGAGGTAGGTCTTGTGTTCTGTTTTTAATATTGTTACTGCATTTACCATCTCCTACATTGACAGAATTGGCATTTAAGATTAAAGTAAAATTTTGTCACATGCAAGCACTTAAATACTTTTAATAAATGCATTTTTTCTGTGATTTGCCGTTTAAAATAATACAATTGATTGTAGTAATGTTCAATTGAAGTTCAGTACTATAGGTAATGAGTCAGAGTATAGATTGATCTGCCATAGTGCAAACAGACCATCCACCACATGTATCTTGAGGTTATCTTGAGATGATTTCGGGGCTTTAGTGTCCCCGCGGCCCAGTCCTCGACCACGCCTCCACCCCCAGGAAGCAGCCCGTGACAGCTGACTAACACCCAGGTACCTATTTTACTGCTAGGTAACAGGGGCATAGGGTGAAAGAAACTCTGCCCATTGTTTCTCGCCGGCGCCTGGGATCGAACCCGGGACCACAGGATCACAAGTCCAGCATGCTGTACGCTCGGCCGACCGGCTCCCAATGTGACTGCATTGACATGCCAGCATTTGTCAAAATAGTTGTAGGCTCCCTATTGAACAAGATAGATCTACACGTTTCTTATTGGGAAGAATCAAGCAGTAGCCTAATGCATAATTAAACCATACTTAGCACATCAGGACTTTGAAGGGCAAAATGAGCCTTATTGTTATCTTGCCAATTAACCTGTACAGGGTGTCCAAGAATTAGCTATCTTTGTCTGTGAAATCTGCCGAATCTATTAAATTCCTATAAAATTTCATGTTTTTACCTAATTATCATACTGTACAGATTTTTAAATAGTAAGCCAAATCTTTATCGAGAACTTTCAACTTGTGCAGGAATCTGACAGAACACAAGTTGAAAGTTCTCAATAAAGATTTGGTTTGTTTAAAAATCTGTTTTTGTATTATAATTAGGTAAAAACATGAAATTTTATAGATTTTTAATAGATTCGTCAGATTTCATAGAAATAGCTAATTCAGGGACACCGTTTTTGAAAACAATGGTCACTATTTGTCAACATAAAGAGAACTAACAGCTATTGATCAACATCTTTATCACCGACCACATGGCAAGCAAGTTGTGTGCAACACATTCAATCCATTTGGAAATTGGTGTAAAATTCACGTTGCTACTCATATTGTTAGCTCGACACTGAAAATACACTATTAATAATAATAAGAAATGGCAATTTTCTATATCCAGTATAATAGTCGAACTGAATTGTGTACATGTAGAATTCTGTGATTGCGTTTGACTTTCAAGCTCATGCAATTTCAACTCTTACTAATTATATAAATTGCCATTACAAAAGTTCAATTAGTTTTCAATTGTTTCAGGTATTGATGGGATACGTTGGTGATCGTTCATGGTCGTCACCGATGCTAATATACAATGTGTCTATGGTGATCTGTGGATTCAGTGTCATCTTTATGCCATTCTTAACTAATTACTGGTTGTTAGCTATGGCTGCGGGTGTATTTGGATTATTTATATCGGCAAACTATGCCCTGACATCGGTCATCTTGGTTGAACTAGTAAGCCTAGAAGCATTCAGTAAAACATATGGTCTGTTGCTGCTCATACAAGGTCTTGCAAACCTTATTGGACCTCCAGTTGTAGGTAAGTGTTAATCTTTGTTTCAGTTTTACATGTTTTGAAGGAGCACTAGTAATTTTACCGAAATTTAGTATTAATACAGTACAGTATATATATGTAATTTTAGTCATTGATATTGCTGTAATACTGTATTTAGCTGGTATGTCTAAATAAGAAAAAGCACTGTATGGCTGTTGTGATAGTGATTGATTTCTTAATAAGTTAAGCGATTGATTTCTTAATAAGTTAAATAATATTCCTTGGGTGTATAACTTTTCTTTAGAAGGGACACTGACTGTTATGTGTGAAATAATGAACATGCATAAAATTTTTGGCCAATTTATACTCTTGACACTATGTAGGAAGAGGTTAAAAGAATTGATGCAAGAATCTTAAATTTATCCTATGACCTTACAACATACAGGTTATTTAGGATGGAGGCGAGGACTGGTTCTAATAGCCGAGAAGTGGGAGACGAGCACATTTGCAACAGACATTTGGGTCACAGACTGACAGGCTTACCTGTAGGAAAGGAAGAGGCATGATCTGGCTTATGCTTCTTGCTTGAAGATGGAAGTTAAGATGGATGGAGCTGGTGGTCGCAATGTAGTTTGTGATGTCGGGAACAGTCTTGGATACGGATATCGAGGGTAGCAGCGATAGAGGCAGACGTCCACTATGACCATGAGGGCAGCACGAGGACCAAAGGGCAGAAGGGAGGATAAAAGTGGAGAGGGGAAATGGGGCCTGTAGGGGTTAGCATTGGCAGTGGAGATGCTGATAGGCAGGGGATGGAACCACATGTGGAGAATGGCTGAGGAGGAAGGGATGTAAACGTGGGAAAGGGGACCCAAGAAAGGGATCCAGCCACATACTCCCAGCCAAACAACAGAGGGAGGAGGGGGGGTTGAAAATGAGTTGTATATCAATGTTCCCAAGATAAAGAAACAATCCTAGAGAGCGGGTCAAAGCCTCCTGATAAGCAGTGTGAGCGTATCCCTGAAAAGAGACTGGTATGAATCAAAGGAGAAATGGCAAAATATCCATAAGAAATAGAAATAATATGGTTGGATAAGCATGACGTAACATGTACAAGGGCAGCGAGGGAGCACGAGCCAGTTGTTGTCCATAATGGCACTTGCCCTTTTTATCTTGGAAGAGGCTGACCAGAGTAACAAAATATTTTGCCTATGTTGGTACAGAGATTCATTTCTCCTGTGTGTGCACCAAATCGAATACCCATGTTAATCTGCGCAAGGCAGCCCTTCATGAAGCTGGTCAGCCAAGCGGACAGCACACTGGACTTGTGGTCCCGAGTTCAATCCCGGGCACCGGTGAGAAACAATGGGCAGAGTTTCTTTCACCCTATGCCCCTGTTACCTAGCAGTAAAATAGGTACCTAGGTGTTAGTCAGCTGTCACGGGCTGCTTCCTGGGGGTGGAAGCCTGGTCGAGGACCGGGCCGCGGGGACACTAAAGCCCCGAAATCATCTCAAGATAACCTCAAGAAGATGGATAAGCTCTCAGGTTGGCAGTCTGGTGATCCATACAAAATTCTAATGTTGGCGGGAATGTTTGGTTTCACGTTGGCACAGCAGGCAGGCGGGCAGAGCAGAAGCCACCCCTTACTTGCCTAAGAATGACACTAAGATTCCCCATGGCCCAGTCAAGCCAACACCCTTGAGGGGGGAGGGGAGGGGGCCAGAAAAATGAAAGTGCCTGTATTAGCAAAGTTTGTTATGGGTGGCATGGAAATTGTGTAAATGGATATGGTGGTGGAAGATTCTACGAGGAATGAGGATCAACACAAAAAGTGGAAACCAAAATATGAATGCAAGGGTGGACTGAAAGAATATGTGATGTCTTTGGTAAAATACAATAATAATTTTATTTTATAATTTCAATCTGAATAAGTGCATTTTAGTTGTTCATTACAACCATATTTTTTTATTTTTACAGGATATATTGCAGACACAACCGGTGATTATGTAGTGCCATTTGTTGTATCTGGGATCTTCATTGTTTGTTGTGGACTGATTCTTAATGCAATACCTTTGATACAGCATTATAAAAATCGATATCCATCTTCTACATCCTCCCCAGTGGACACTCCAAAAGATGGATCTCCAAACTCATCCCCAGTCCATACTTGCAAGAAAACTTCTGGGCCTTCTCAAGTATGAATATCCCGAGAAGATGACCTGAAATATCTGTAGCTATGAGACTGTGGGTAACATAATATGAATGAAGAAACAAAATAGAGATTTGATTATTTTCAATAGTTCCAGTAAACATTAGTGTGCCCTTTCAAATAAGGTGAAGATAACTTTCAAATTAATATTCAGAATTATGTTGACCTATTCAGTATGTTACAGTATACTAGCATATGCTGCGGTGCACCAGCATGTATGCTGCGGCGCACCAGCGTGCATGCTGCGGTGCACCAGCGTGCATGCTGCGGTGCACCAGCGTGTATGCTGCGGTGCACCAGCGTGCATGCTGCGGTGCACCAGCGTGTATGCTGCGGCGCACCAGTGTGTATGCTGCGGCGCACCAGCGTGTATGCTGTGGCGCACCAGCGTGTATGCTGTGGCGCACCAGCGTGTATGCTGCGGCGCACCAGCGTGTATGCTGCGGTGCACCAGCGTGTATGCTGCGGCGCACCAGCGTGTATGCTGCGGTGCACCAGCGTGTATGCTGCGGCGCACCAGCGTGCATGCTGCGGCGCACCAGCGTGCATGCTGCGGCGCACCAGCGTGTATGCTGCGGCGCACCAGCGTGTATGCTGCGGCGCACCAGCGTGTATGCTGCGGCGCACCAGCGTGTATGCTGCGGCGCACCAGCGTGTATGCTGCGGCGCATCAGCGTGTATGCTGCGGCGCACCAGCGTGTATGCTGCGGCGCACCAGCGTGTATGCTGCGGCGCACCAGCGTGTATGCTGCGGCGCACCAGCGTGTATGCTGCGGCGCACCAGCGTGTATGCTGCGGCGCACCAGCGTGTATGCTGCGGCGCACCAGCGTGTATGCTGCGGCGCACCAGCGTGTATGCTGCGGCGCACCAGCGTGTATGCTGTGGCGCACCAGCGTGTATGCTGCGGCGCACCAGCGTGTATGCTGCGGCGCACCAGCGTGTATGCTATGGGAGAAGTCTCTAATGAAATCTTGCAACTTTTATTACTGTGTCAACTGCAGGTGCTGTATATATGTTTCTATGCACTGTATACAGAATATACCATGTTATATTTGACATACTATATGTGTATACAGTATATATAAATGTATGTACAGTATGTGTATATGAATGTGTATACCTGTATGTACATAAAGATATATGTATATAAAATATATACCGTACTGTATAATGTGTGCATTTGTATATTACGTAGAGAGTATAAAACTTACATAAAATGTAACAGTACAGACTGAGCTACATTGCAGGAAAATAGAAAATTTGCAATATTTTCACATTCCTGAAAACTTTGAGGGAGTTTTGCTGTAAACACTAATGCTATGCGGCAGCTCAGCATACCTGTGCCTATTCTGATGATAATTACAGCAAGAAGCATGCCTTTAGCATGTATTCAGAGCAAGAGTTTATCTCGTAATTATAGCGGGTGGTCGTCTTTTACAGCAGCTTCATATATGGATGTTTCTCTTGGATCTGCTTATTTTAAAGACTATATCTTAAGACAATATTGTACTCTTATTTAAAAGACAAATATAAACCTCATCAAAAGCACCATTAATGAATAGCACATCTTCCTATTTATAATGTTACTTTCCATGCTTTAGGTAAACTTAGTGCTAAATAAGCCTGATAAATATTGTTAAATAATTTAAGTATGAATAGTCACAACTAGAAAGGGTGTAGCAGTGAAATTTGTGAACGGTACTAAAATTGCATCACTGAATAACCAGCGGGTTAAGTATTACCAAACACTTCTACCTGAAACCCTAGCATATATAACCTTCTCTAATATAAACAAAATTTCTAGTATGCAGGCAATGAGTCACAATAACGTGGCTGAAGTAGTTTGACCAGACCACACACTAGGTGAAGGGACGACGACATTTCGGTCCGTCTTGGACCATTCTCGAGTCGATTGAGACACTTGAGAATGGTCCAGGACAGACCGAAACGTCGTCGTCCCTTCACCTTCTAGTGTGTGGTTTGGTCAAACAAAATTTCTAGTAGTTACCCAAGTGTGTAATTACCTAGTGAAACTACCTTAATGCTGATGTTTTAAATTAAAATTAAAATGGTTTTTCATTGTCAGTTTCAAGAAGCATCTTTGATTTGCCAAGGGTGAGGCTGCTTGCAAAGTCACCATACCAGTTACTAGTCTCAAACAATGGTATTTAATCAAATGACTGCATGACTTTCATATCATTCACTGTGCCATGTCATTGGCACTAATTTTTCCCATTCGTAATTTATCTCATTTTTTTCCAATATTTTAGCCCAATTTATGACAATTTAATCAACCAAAGTACTGTACAAGAGTAAGATACATGTAGTGCTTTATAAAAGCTGCAGTTTATATGGAAATCTGTAGGAACACAGATAAACCAAATATTTAATAAGTACCTGTATAACAAAAATTCTGCAGATGTCAAAGAAAATTAGCTTTGAAACTGGACGTCATTGAATTTTTTGGGAAATTTACATACAGAACCTCTTTTTATGCGAGCATACACACATGCAAGAAGAGGGTGTACAAATACGTGAATAATATTTGCCATAAAGATTTGCTGTATTGCATGATCTACATACTACTGATCGCTGAATGCTTGCTTAAATGAAAAAGCTGGGCATTAGATTTATTCCTCAATCAACGATTGTAATACCTGCTAGGTTTATTGAGTCCGTTTTGAGTTTCGTGGGGCACAGTACAATTTGAATAGGTAACCAACCTTGTATGTATAGTGCATGACCAGCCCTGGCAAGTACAAGGTTTATACACTGAAAATAGTACTGCATATGTTCCTACAATGTGTTGATGGATGCATTCCTGTAAGACCTTTCCGTACAAAACAACTACTTGTTAAACTTAATTTTTAAAACAACTATTAAATGCTCCTGACACTTCCAAGCCACGAGTTCACTCCCAAGATTACCAAATAGAAGTGTCATGAGGTCAGATCATGGAGACTTGATCAAGACTTGAAATAGATGATATAGAAGATGCACTAAAACCGCTTGGTTGTGTGAATATTTCACCCAAGCTCTTGTATAAGCAACCCTACCCTCACCAAGTTTGAATTTTGCATTAAAAACAAATTTTGCACATCTGAATTCGTATCCAAATTTTGTGCAAAAGGATGGCTCACTAAACCAAAGTACAGTACATACACAATACCATACATTTGTCCCAAAATGTATGGTGCTTGGATCATAGATGGATAAACGTTTTCACTTTGTACAGTATGAGAATGCTGCACTTCAGATAATTTATTTCTGTTGAAAAATGACAATCTTGCCATTATCAAACTTATGAATATGATGTATCATTTATGTAAAGAAGAAATTTAAGTTGAAGAATCCTTCAAGTAATACCGTACTTTCCTGCACCGAAAACTTCTATAGACAAGTTGTTTTTAACACTAGTCTTGCTTTATTATGTCTTATTGAATATCTACATAAGAGATGCATCTTTAAAGACTGGATGTAACAGAAACTTGATGTTAGTAAACAAAAAATGTCAAGTAAATTAGTTATATAAGAGATTGTGTTGTTACTGGATAATCTGACTAACTTGTTGACACGACAACATTGCAGAATGAAAGGTACTTGCCTTACTAAACTAAATCGTGACTAAATGAGACTGATTACTTTCAGTCATCAGGCTATAACGACTAATTTTAAATTTCTAATAAGCGTCAATATTTTACATGGAAATGTAACTAATCAAGATGTGGAAAGATAAAATGTCTGAACCCTCAGAGCTGAGTTTTTGTGAACAATAATCAAATACAAATTCTATGTACACTGTATCACTGTTTGGTCTTTGATTTTGATGTGTAGTGTGTATAATAATGTATAATCTGGGAGAACAGGTATTTTTTCCACATAAAACTATGCACTATTCATATGTTAGTGATGGCTTTTTATGGTTAATATGGCAGCAGGTGAAGTTATTTATTACTATGCCTAGTTCAATTTATTTTTAGAATTAAGTACAGTACAGTACTAAAAAATATTTGTATAAAAAATGTCCATTATTACCCAGTACATTTAAAAATTATATAGGAACAATTGCCGTGGCATAAGAAGTCATGCTTTCCATAATGCATTAGTATAAGCAACTTTGTTTCCATATATTTGATGTTAGGCTGTTTAAATGTTGACCTGCAATATTGAAGTGGAATGAACACACGAATCAACCAATTCATTTAAAGTACTCAGGAAAATGATCAGCATTATATTACAAATGTTTTGATGCTCATGAACGTACTATTAAAAAATATATATACATGCTGTACATTTTATATATATATATATATATATATATATATATATATATATATATATATATATATATATATATATAAATATGTGTGTGTGTGTGCACTTGCATTTCTAGTACTACTGTATACACACACACACATACATACATACATAATATATACATACATATGCATGCACTCACTATACTTTTCCCTAAATGGGCAAAGATGAGTACACTAACAAAAGCACAAATAATTCAAATGTAAATGTGTGAAAGCACTTTCACATATCTATGAAAATAAAAAAAGTACATATGTACAGTTCTCCCTTAAAAATCTGGACTTCCATAAATATATCTATATATATACTATATATCTCTAAACAATAGATCCAATCTGCCCAGTGGATTTTTCTTCCAAAATTCAGTTTTCCGCAGAAAATCTGAATTCCATAGAAGAATGTCGTGAAATTTTGATCGTTGGTTAAATGCGTAAGTAATTTCCATCAGATTCCATTTTCCCTGTTTTTGCTAATTTGACTTTATTTGGTATTATTCAGAATAATGTATTTATATTTTAAATATTTTACTCTTGTACCTTAATATAAATTATACAAACAAGTTTGTTCCACAATATTTTTTGAGCCATTCACACCTACTGTATGTTTTTCATGTTTAGCAAAGCTTTTGATACAGTCCCACATGAAAGATCGATTAAAAAGATAGAGGCTCACGGTATTGGGGGTGCTGTATTAAGTTGGATTAGGGCATGGCTTTACCAAAGTAAACAGTATAAATGGAGTTAAGTTAGTGGGAAAATGTTGTAAGTGGAATGCCTCAAGGCTCTGTCCTTGAATAACCTCTGTTATTCATAATATATATAAATGATTTAGATTCAGGTTTGAGCAGCAATATTTGCAAATTTGCCAATGATATAAAAATCAGGAGAGGGGATATAAATACAGAAAGACTCGCTATCACTTCAAGACGATTTAAATGTTTTGAAATGGTCAAAAGATTAACAGATGCAGTTTAATGCTGACAAGTGTAAGGTGTTGAGCCAAGGCAGTGATGAAAGTTACAAGATGTTAGCTAGATTGGTGCCTGACAGCCGAGTGGAGAGCGCTTCGGATTCGTGGTCCTGAGGTTCCGGGTTCGATCCCCGGTGGAGGTGGAAACAAATGGGCAGAGTTTTTCATCCTGATCCTCCTGTTACCTAGCAGTAAATAGGTACCTGGGAGTTAGACAGCTTTTGCGGTCTGCTTCCTGGGGATGTGTAACAAAAAGGAGGCCTGGTCGAGGACCGGGCCGTGGGGACGCTAAGCCCCGAAATCATCTCAAGATAGATGGTGTTGAGATTGCGAAAGGGTTCTGGGAGTCTTGTTTACGGTAGTAAGAATTTAAAATACAAAAATCAATGCATAAATGTTCGTAATAAGGCAAATAGACACTGGGATTTATTTCTCAAGATGTTGGTAATAAAATACCTGGTGTTATTCTTCGGCTATATCCTGCTTTTGTTAGGCCCCATTTAGATTATGCAGTTCAGTTTTGGTCACCATACTATAGAATGGATATAAATTCACTAGAATGCATCTGGCATAGGATGACAATGTTAATCCCGCAAATTAGAAACCTGTCGTATGAAGATTGACAAAGCTTAACTTACATTCTCTAGAAATGCAAAGAATTAGGGGTGACATAATAGAAGTGTACAAGTGGATGAATGGGCATAACAAAAGGGATATAAAAAGTATGAACACAAAACAATGGGTATAAATTGGATAAGTTTAGATTTAAGGAAAGACAAGTGGTAAATATTGGTTTGGTAACAGGGTTGTTGATTTGTGGAACCAAATACACAGTAACATAATAGAAGTAGGATCCCTTGATTGTTTCAAGCGTGGGTTAGACATGTACAGGCATACCTCAAAATGCGAGTTTAATCCGTTCCTGGAGACGCCTCGCCTTCCGAAAACTCGCATTCCGAAGTTAATTTCCCCATAAGAAATAAAGGGAAATGAATTAATCCGTTCCTGACTACCCCAAAAACCCCACATCAAGCTAAATTTTTATACCTAATTTACCTAATTCATCTAAATAAACCTACAAAACTATGTTCCAGTTATTACTTACCTTGCTGACGAGTGCTGTAGGCGTATGGAAGATGGTGAGGAGGGGGGAGGAGGAGAGGAGTTACTGTTTGGAAGGGGAGTTCCCTTCCATAATCACATCAGGCAGTGAGGACCTTTCTGGTGTGCTCTCCCTGGGACGTTTAACCTGAGTGCCACTAGGTCCTGGTTGAGGCTCACTGCTCGATTTCCTCACCACAAATTTGTCCATGGAAGCTTGCTTTTCCCTTCTTCGCAAGCTCTCTCTGTAGTAAGGCATCACATTGTCATTGAAAAGATTAAGAAAACGGCCTACTACAGCTTTGTCTGGGTGAGTATGTTCAATAGTTGTTTGAATCTCTTCCCACATCTGACACACCTTCTTAATTACTGCAGAAGGGACACTCGCTGGTGCTGTTGGTGCTGCTGCCACCTCCTCCTCCACTGCAGAATCATTCGCTGCTGTGTTGGCTTGCTGTTCCTGTTGAAGGGCTAGGAGTTCTTCGGTGGTCAGTTCTTCGTTGTGTTCTTCCACCAACTCCTCCACATCATCACCATCCAATTCCAAGCCCATTTGCTGGCCTAGACTAACAATTTCCTCAACAATAGGCGCATCATTTATAGGCTCAAACCCCTCAAAGTCTAGTTCTCTCACACCTTCAGGCCACAATTTTCTCCAGCCAGAGATCAGGGTTCTTTGAGTCACTTCTTGCCAGGCTTTGTCAACAAGTTTTAAAGCACTACAAATGTTAAAATGCTCTCTCCAGAACTCTTTGAGGGTGAGGTTTGTGGCTTCAGTTACTTCAAAACATTTCCGGAAAAGTGCCCTTTCATAAAGTTTCTTAAAATTCGCTATGATTTTCTGGTCCATAGGCTGAATTAGAAGAGTGGTGTTAGGAGGAAGGAATTTAACTGTGAGGAATTTATTGTATTGAGGCATCAAATCATCTTCCAAGCCTGGAGGATGAGCAGGAGCATTGTCAAGGAGAAGCACGGCTTTGAGTGGCAATTGTTTCTCCTGCAGATATTTTTCTATGGCAGGGCACACCACTTCATTCACCCACTCCGAAAAAATAAGCCTAGTGACCCATGCTTTTTTATTAGACTTCCACATCACAGACAAACGGGTTTTCTGCACATTATACTGTTTGAAAACCCTTGGATTTTCAGAATGATACACTAGCAAGGGTTTAATTTTCAAATCGCCACTCGCATTTGAACACAGCACAAGCGTAAACCTATCTTTCATAGGCTTGTGTCCAGGCAAGGATTTTTCCTCCTTGGTAATGTATGTCCTCTTAGGCATTCTTTTCCAAAACAGTCCTGTTTCGTCACAATTAAACACTTGTTGCGGTAGGTATTCCCCAGTCTCTGCAAACTTTAAATTCGTCAATAAATCGTCCAGCGGCTGGTTTGTCTGAGCTGGCTGCCTCCCCATGCCTTGTAACACTATGGATACCACTTCTCTTTCTAAATTTTTCAAACCAGCCCCTGCTTGCCTTAAACTCTTTCTTATCTGCATCACTCGTTGCAGGGGTCTTCTTTAGAAGGTCTTCGTGCAACACCCTGGCTTTCTCACAAATAATGGCCTCCGAAACACTATCACCCCTCAACTCCTTGTCGTGTATCCAAATTAATAACAACTTTTCCACTTCTTCAAGTATTTGTGGTCTTTGTGTCGTTAATGTTCTTACTCCTTTTGCCACATTAGCACTCATAATCTTATTTTTCTTCTTAAGTATAGTGCATATTGTTGATGTGGCTTTCTTGTACTGCCTACAAAGTTCAACAACACGTGTACCGTTCTCATGCTTACGAATTTACCACTGGCTTTCTTGGGACTCATGGTGAGATATATAATAACAAATTGTATAGACAAATCACCAAAAATCCAACAAAACACTGTAAATCCGCGAGAAGAATTGATGTGGGGGTAGTCACTGAGCGCGAGACAATGGTAAACTGAGGGGCAGAGGGGCGACGATCGCCGAACGACCACGCGCTAGGTCGGCTGTACGCGTATCAACAAACTCGCCTCCCGAAGTAACCATCGCCTTCCGAGACAAATTTTTGGAGTAAATACACCTCGCCTTCCGAAAACCTCGCATACAGGGACAATCGCATTCCGAGGTACCACTGTATATGAATTTTTATTAAATACAGCATTTTACAAAATATGCAGACACCCGCAACTTATAAATTGCAGTATGTACTCTTCAATTACATGAATATAAAATTTATTCACCATCTGGTGCATTGAGTGGATAGTCTTAATACTGGAGATCATAATTGATCACATGGTAGAACGGCAACTGCGGACTTTGGTTTAGAGCACGTACATAAGACCTTAAAATTATCAGCAAGTAACCAGCAGAGAGGTTAATCC